TTCCTCCCCACCCCCCCATCCCGCCTCCACTGCATAAATATTAGAAAAATAAAGTCTTACACACCTTTTCCAACACATAGACTCCCTTGGCATTATTCATCTCTCCCACAAAGTCACGGACGATGCATAGCTTCCTCCATAATGGTCCAATCCAATGCTCCTCATAGAGGAGTACTGAGGACCTATTACTTCCCTATAGGAGAGCATAGAGACAATGCTTTCTATGTGGGCTTACACACCACGTGGCAGTCACCGGAGGAGGACTTAAAGGGACACTTTATAGAAGAAAAAACTTGATTTACTAGCACAGAAGATATGGATTATTTTTGTTTGGAAAGAACCTCCATGCTACTTTATAATACACAAATGGCTGTCTATAACTTTTGCATTTTAAGAAAAAAAACTAAACTAATTATTAATCAGAATTTTACTTTTTTTCACAGAATGTTTAAATTTTTGCATGTGAGCTGCTGGAGATATGTTTGCTGGCCTGAAAAGGATTAAAAACCCCAAACAGCTGGATTTTTCACCATTACTAATGATTCTTTAACATAACCTCACTCACCTTTAAAATAAGAAGACAAATCTTGCAGCCATCTATGTTATAATATAACAATTAATCATACATAATCAGGAGGAAGCAGCAAGGACTCTGCTTATTGATAATAGATAATGGAACTGAGTGACGGAGCTTAAGGGTCTTTTTGCAGATATCACGTGCTTGTTAGTTATCCATTGGTTTGTGTCTATGTTTTGGGTCTTTCTTTTACACTGCAGGTATTAAGTTTCTATTTTTTAATCTTTGCTTCAGGGCTACAGTATCGTCTTTCTCTTGTGTATCTATCAGACAATGTTCTCATCATATTCTGAAACTCTGAAACGTCTGAAACTGATAATTGGATTTTCGTTATCAGCCATCTTATGAAGTGAGTCTGAGTTTAGTAGATTTGTGATGGAGCTCCCGTACTCCGACATAGTACCTCCGCCAAGTCTGCTTCCTTGGTGCCACAGGGGACTCTGGAGCACTTCAGACCCAGTCACCAAGGCTAGACTCTCAGGAACTCTTCCACTTCTCTAAACTCTGACCTGTGACAAATAAAATCCATGGCAAAATTATGCTGTTATTATTGCTGAATTTAAAAAAAATTTCCAGGTCATCTTAATAACCCTTAATTTTGCAGAATGGATATTAATTCATTAAAATTTATAGCTTAATGAATACACTTGTCACGTTATTCATACAGTCCTCAGTAGGTATATAAAGGTAACATTTAAAGTCACCTTCTCTGGAGATTACTCCATTCAATAAAACATTGAAAATCATCTCTAACTTGTGTTTAATCTTTTTTCTTGAGAAACCCTGTTTTCTTTTAAATACGTATTAAAGAGGGGGTGGGGAAGCTAGGATCGAACCACAGCAGACGTGTGTGATAAGAGCTCCTGAGAGATACTATACTTTTATGCTCTATAATTGCACATTTTTTAACAGCACAAAACCTGATCTGAACATCATGAGAAGAAAATCCAAACCTCACCGAGGTAAAGCCACCAACGCTTCCAAAGATATTGGCACTTTACTTCATGTGACTCTGCAGCCACGTCCTGTCAACATGGGGCCCGCATGGGAAATCTCCAACTACACTTCCGTCTAAAGTGAACCAGATAAATCTATGGCTCATGTCGGGCAGCGAGGGACCCAGGCAAGTCCACTTACTGCCCTCGAGCAATTGCTGACGTTCAAAGCAGATATCCAAAACCTCCTCACGGAGCTGAAGACCATGTCTGCTGCAGACATTGCGCTCATCTAGGAGGACATGAGTGCTATAACGGCCCTGATACAGGATGTGGAGGAAGAAGGGGATACTATGAAAGGAAAACAAGCAGTCCTGCACTAGGGTGTAGAGAAACCTAAACAAGCTAACTCACTCATGAAGGACAAGGTGGTAGCAGCACTGTAAGATGCCAGAAGGCAGCACGACCTCAGAATTCAAGGTGTCTCTGAGGAGATACTGGACACTGAGGTCCCTCACTAGCTTAAGCGGTTGCTGACCTCCTTGCTATCACCCTCTAAGGCCAAAATCACCCCCAGATGTGGTGCCAAGGGACTTACTGGTTTGTTTTCAGTCGGCCCGGAGTAAACAGCATGTACAGGCTGCCACCCAGGAAGCACCCGCATACTAGTTTGAGGGTTCAGACCTCTCCTTTTTCAATGACCGTTCTAGGTCCAACAACTCATGCCGGTGATCCCTGAAGCCAGTGGCACAGCTACTGTGGGAACATTGAAGCCGTACAGATGTAGACCAAGTCGTAGACTTTCTGTTCTTCACAGGGAAAAGATGAAGTTCCTAATGTCATTAGTTATCTCCATGTCTGATACATCAGTGAAACTTGCAGCAAAACCAGTCCCCAGTACATCATCTAAGCTATGGGACATTCACAAGATCAAACCCTTTTAGCCATGCTTGGGACAAGCAGTGGGACTGCTGAATTCGACAGACACTTGAATTTAGTACATCACAATGGTGGTTCTCCACCGGTTCTCTTCTCAATACTCCAATAAGATATTCTACTGTGTTATTTTGTATTTATTTTATTGCTTGATTTGTGCCCTTTTAGTTGGTTTTCTTGTTCTAAACAATTATCTTGGCTGAGCCATAATGTGTCAGACTGACAAGCTGCAGACCATATGGGTATCGATACGCATAAAAACTCTGTATTAGTGATCATTTTTATTGAGAATTGTTAGTGTGTATATCTCTCTGGTAGCTCAGAACCTCCCGTTTGCTGATGGTAGTATTAGAGCAGGCTTCCCAAAGCTCCGGCCCTCCAGATGTTGCTGAACTACAACTCCCAGCCTATCAATTTCATTAATAGAATCATGGGAGTTGTAGTTCAGCAACATCTGGAGGGCCGAAGTTTGGGGAAGCCTGCTCTAATACTGCAATCAGCAAACGGGAGGTTATGAGCTATTTCAGTTTGGGCACAGCAGAACGAGCATTGCAAATAAGGAGTTAAAATAGAAACATCGTTTCATTTCTCCTCCTCTGTGTCTGCTCTCTCTATGCTGACTGCAAGGCGCAAAGGACAGAGTTTGTAACAATGATTGACAGGGAGCTAAGATAGAGGCACCCAGTTAAAGAATAAAGAGTTATGGAATAATATATTTAATTTATTTGTCAGACCTCACAAATACATATTTTTTTAACCATAGGAATAATTAAACATAACATTAAAATCTGTGGAAGGTGAAGGTCCCCCTTTAAAGATCAAATAAATAACCCGACTCCCGAGTATAATTATCTTTCTGGTGACATCTAGTGGCCAGTTTTAGGATAAATTAGGTTTCTTTATTATGCCTCTGCTTGCATTGTAAGGTTCTATTTAGTAATTAGTAAGTACTAGCGAATTCAAAACCCATTTCATTGGATCTTAGGCATAACACTGAAAGCAAAGTGTGTGTTGGGTTACATAACCCCCAGCCAAAACAAGAAAATGAAGACTAAAATCAAAAAACAATCAGTTACTTATAACTGGTTCCAATTCCAAAATTTTGCTCAAATTAGTAATATGAAGATATTTTCAGCTATAAACACTGTTTGGCTATTTTAGCTTAAATTCTGCAATTCGATTCTACATCCACCATAATTGACTTTTAAATGAATATAGCACTGTTTGTCCATTCACTATTTTATGATTTTTTTTATATCGCTAATTAAATAAAGTTTATTATTTTTAATATGTACCAAATATAAAACTGCAATACCATGGCTATCTCTGTAGTAGATGTTTTAAATCACTTGGTGAAAGGTGGCACTAGGAGAATTAAATGTCGTAGATGAAAGAGAAGGACATTATTTGCAACTTCTTTGCTGCTGTAAGCTGATGCCTGAGATTTCTATGAGTTGCAATTGGAATACCAATGATGCTAAGGGGATGGTGCAGGAGTGGAAAAGTGTATCCTGTTATCCCAATCTAAATTAGTGATTTTCTTTGTTTGTTTGTTTTGTCCCATTAATCACTTGGTTAAGAAGTGTCCTCCAACCTGTTATCTCAGAAAACTCAGTATATAGTTTTATTGAGAAGACAATCACGCAGAATCCAATGAATCATATTTTAATATAATTCTAGGTTTCAGATCACAAACATTCCGAAATTACACCAAAACATCAGTGCCCTGATTAACCCCTGAAGTTTAAAATTCCAGGAAGGAACAGCTAAAAGATGAGGCGATATTAAAGAGCTAAACTATCAGGTGATATTAAAGTGACATTATAGGTTGTTATTTTTTTTTGCAGTTTTGAAAGAAGTGTGAATTCAAAAAGCAAAAACTAATTGCAGCCTTCTTGGTGTAAAAAATGAGAGCACGTATGATGATATTCTGTGCATTGCACTGTCAGGTTATCACACACATGCTCTCCACTTTGCAGACGCCTGCCGCCAATTAGATAAAGCGGTCGGTATGAACCATGGCGGCTGCAATGCAAGCGATAAAATGGCATGTATCTTTAAATGTACATGCCGTTTAATTCCCAGACGAGATGCGGTTTCTTTTCTTTTGTTGCCATCAAACAAAAAAGTTTCTCTCTGATATGATAAGATTCTTCCCAAAGAAAAAGCTTTCCCCCCATCGCCCTCTATCTCGCAGAGGAATCCAATCACAAAACTCCCATCTTGCACTTGCCAACCTCGAAAAAACATACATTTTAATTGAACTGTGAAGGCGTGGAGCAGGTCTGACTAATTATATCTTTGAAGAGGAGCTTTGTCCCTCATGTTCGCTATCTCTTTTCAAGGGATTTTGTTACCATGATGATTTCGTTGTTTTTTTTTTTTTTTTTAGAAAGATGGGCGATACAGAGAGATCGTCTGGAAATTCTGCTCCCTAGACACGCAGCTTGCAATTCGACACACAGATTACATCAGACTGGACTCGTCCGTCTGTAAAATGAATCAACCTGTTTTGTGCAAGGTATCCTTTTGTCACAGATAGCGGGGATGGGAGCGAATCTAGTTTCTAGAAGCAAAGGATACAATCTTTGTGGTTGAAAAAGACGAAAATTGAGCTGCAGATGTATTTTTTATCAGAAATCAAGCATGCTTAAAGATAAGATGCTTTGTCCATTCATTTAAAGAGCTGAGCAGATGCCAAACATTGATGAATGAAGAACTGATATTTCTCATCTCTGTCATCCAATACATTTTACAGAATAAAGGGAACTTGGATTGAGGTCATTAGAATCCCTGGACATGTCACTTCTACATGCTGATGGTCAGTACATGAAAAGTGATCTTGTAATAAAAATGTATGTCAAGGGTTATTGGAATAAGTATTGTATGTATATATTTTATAGCATAAATGGCTCACCGTAATATACTTTTTTATTACCCAAAAATATTAATATGCAATCTGAGGTTCTTTATAAAACATATCCATTTATTCTACACAAAATACAAACAGCAATACATTTGTAAAAACATAATAGATAGTACAGAAAAAGAGAGAGAGATCTTCGATGGAGAGTAATTGTCTTTGTCCAGAAAGACTGAGGAACAACCAAAGTGTAGTAGAACGTGGTACTTTGTCTACTGTTCTTGTATAATATAATGACATCAGAACTTATAGCTAAAATTCTGGCGATAAAAGGACATATATGAAGACACTCGACCCTCCGTCCTCTCATTCTACACCCACATTCCAGACTTCTCATGGTACAGCATAGCAAATTACAAGCTGTTCTTTTAAACCCATGAGACATCCATACCGAATATGACTAAGAACATAGAATATGTAATATTCTACAGATGGTTTGCAATAGGTAGAATTCAGGTGATGTAGGTATACAATGAGTTGATCAATTAACTGAGGAAATCTACAAATAATTTGGTGATTACCTTCATATTTCATATCTCCTCCTCCATCAATTGTCTCCTAGAGCCAGCAGTAACCTCCTGTGAGTGGTTAAAGTTCTATTAACAGCAGAAAATAAGAACTTTTAGAGTAAACACACTGTGCTGTAAAGTGTAAACCTTTTTTTCATGGAGGTATGAGAATTACAGCCAGGGGAGGCATTACCAGGGCCGGCTTTTGGGGTATGCAAGCAGTGCGGCTACAGAGACACTGTAGCAACAGGGACTCCAGGCAACCGATGCAGCTCGCAGCAACACGCAACCCAGGAATAATACACACTGGTCATGATGGCCGACACCGAGTTGCCAGAGCTCTTTGTGTGTACGTACACTGTGAGGGGAGAGTCCAACCAGATCTCCAGTAGCTGGTCAGATCGTCAGTGAGTGCTCCAAGAGGCAGTGAAAAAGAAATTGCGATTCATCTGAATTTGGGCTATCAATGGTTCTCTAACTCCGAAACGCTAAATGAACGAATCACAAAACGAACAAAGGACATATACTGACACAGACACAAATTTATTTTTTCAAATTATTGGTTTGGCTGAACCAAATTTGATTGGCCTTTAACAGGTCTAGTGTTTATTATTTTACATGGTTTTCTGTTGTTTTATTTAATTATAAGCGTAAGGCACTTACAAGTTAACTACTTTCTAATCTGTTTGTTTCAGTGATAATGGAAGGTTTTAAACGGTGGGCGGGATTGGATGTGGGAGTGTGACCAAGGACGGGTGTTGTAAAGATTTTTCGTAGGGCCTGCCCTGGGTATGGCTAAGGATGCATAGACAGAAATAAAATGGATACAACTTTTAAATGGCAGAGAATTGAGCAGTGAGACTGCAGGTGCAAAATCTACAAACCAAAACCACTTCATTAAGCCAAAGTTGTTTTTATACTTCGAGTATCCCTTTAATTCTCACTACTTCAATTGTGCAATTTGGGGCTAACCCTTACATGTCTGCAATCTCTCTATTTTGCATATATTTACGCATTCATTTTATATGTCATTTGGCAATTCATAATATACATATAAATTTAAAGTGAATTCCAAATTTAAGGCCAGAATAGAAAAACTGAAAAGCACAGCTGAATTAGAGATTGTTTCCCAGTTTGGGTATTTTAAAATTCACTTTGAATTAATCTTGAATTCTTACTTTTTTATGATTTGTAATTAATATAATCCATTCTATATCAGATCAAACCAAGCCATATCATAGGTGTCATTAGGAGGTGACTTTTGGGTACATTTACCTTTTTATATAGTGTTTCAAAGCATTCACCCAATGTAAAAGGAGAATGACTTCACTTTGCAGGTACAAGGGGGGCTGGCAAGTCGCTCCCCTGTCTTATTACTGGAAAGGGAGTGGTGGGAGTAGAATTGTGCCGTATGGCCGGCAATCAAGCCCTGATGTGCATGTTTGTTCCCATGCCTGCATTGAGGTCTCTGTCAGGGAGATACAAATTCGAAGCTAGGATAGCTAGGCTGTAAATTAGCTGTGTTTCAGAATTTTTCAAGTTTGGCTATTTTAGACTATAATTTGCAACTCCCTTGTGAATTCTCCGTGATAACCTTGAGGGATTTATTTGCTAAGCAGAGAATGGTGGTGAATTAAAGAACAAATTGCAAAATTTAGGATAAAACTGGCAAACAGTGATTTTTTTTTTTTTTTTTTCAAATCCGTTATTGTTTTAAACATTCGTATTTATCGGTATTGGATCCATATTAATAACAAACAATACAAATGATGACTGAGGGATGAAATATAAACAAAAAAGATCAAAACGTTACATAGTAATATCTCGCTGTCATATATTTCATGCTGTTAATATGAGATATTGTTTCCTAAAATGTACTATTCTATTTTCTGTTTAGTGAATATTTTACATCACACCCGAGGCCCTTGCTCATGTTTTTACATTGAGGCTTATTTACTAAACAGTGAAAATTGAAACCTGCAAAATATCTCATGGGGAAAAAATATTCTATAATTGTCACAGTCTGGCAGTTTTAAATTAGAAGTAGAACATTTTCAGTTAATTAATTCACTGTTTAGGGAATGAACTCTGAATTATGTTTAATTCATCTTTTTTGGGAAATATATAGAATCACTGATTTAGGGGGAGTTGTTTTTTTTTTTTTTGTAATGAGAAATGTTTGCATCTGCCTCTAGGAATTTGACCAAATTGGCAGGCTGATTTCAGTCTTGTTTGAAAACCAGCCTGTACACGCTTTATGGAAGCTAATTAAGAATGGAAAGAATGCGTGTCAAGAACTGTCAACCTTACAGAACGATAAGAATATGAGACATGTCCTTAAATTCTGCGCCGTTTGGTTGTTCCACGAGGCTCCCCTGCTCTCCTATGATCTTGTCTGGAAATCTGTAAGGCAACAGACCGTAAAGGAAATCGAAGATTGCCCCGTTATCAATCTATAGTGATCTTTCTAAGGTAGTGTGTATGTAAATATTATATTTAATTATAATATCATTCATTTTATATACATACAAATGCATATATATTAGACGTGCAAAAATTCATTTTAAGCAATTCGTTCGAATAAAATTCTGTGAAACCGTTGAACTAATCGATTCCGAAGTGTTTTACCTGTAGTTTTACCTGTGGAGTCTACATGTGAGATCGGTTCTGAAACAATTTGTTCTGGTATCAAGGAATTGTATTCAGACATATCGCTTAAAATGTATTTTTGCACAAGTCCAATGTATGTGTGTGAATGTATGTAAACATATCTATACATCTAGCTGTGTGTGTCTGTGTGTGTGTGTGTCTGTATGTGTGGTGTGTGCTTGCGTGCGTGTGTGTGTGAGTATTTGTATATATGGCTTTTATCAATACTTTATCAATACATTATAATTACGACGTCTGGGTTTACAAGGTTTAAATTCACTAAAGTAAGAATTGTTAGGAATTCAAAGTAAATCGAACATCATATCCACACTTTAGGTGAAATTATCTGAACTAAGAACTAAGCCCTTTTTTCAGTTCTACTTTGTTCTATTATTTTTAATTCACTTTGAATTCCCAAAAATTTACACTTTACTGCAGCGTTCCCCAATGGTTTCCCAATAATAATTGCAGTTCCGCTAAAAAATTTGAAAACAAAATGGCCGCGGGTGGCAAGGGAGCAGTGATCTCCCTGCTCAGCTCCCTCGCGCGCACTGGCTCCTGCATCACTAAGAGGCACACAAGGGAGCTGAGCAGGGAGATCACTGCTCCCTCGCCGCCCGCATGCCAGCCGCTCAGCAGCCCCACTGGACCCCAGGGGCTTCATGCCAGCAGCCCCACTGGACCCCAGGGACTCCATGCCAGCACTCCTAAAGGTAGGGGAGCTGAGTGGAGTAAAATGTTACAAAAAAATAAGTTTGAATGTGTTTGTGTGTTTGTCAGTGAGAATGAATGTGTTTGTCAGTGAGAATTTATCTGTTCTTGTCAATGAGAGTGTAAATGTGTTTGGATGTGTGTCTGTAAAAGAGTGGGTATGTTTGTCAGTGAGATTGTATGTGTGTCTGTCAGAGTGTGTGTTTGTCAGTGTCAGTGAGAGTGTATGTGTGTCTGTCAAAGAGTGTGTGTGTGTCTGTCAAAAAGTGTATGTGTCAGTGTGTGTATCTGTGTCAAGGTGTGTGTATGTGTCACTGTGTGCATCTAAGTGTGTGTATGTGCCAGTATGTATCAGTGTGTTTGTATGTGCCTGTGTGTGTGTATCTGAGTGTGTCAGTGTGTATCTGTGGGTTCAAGTGTATGTATGTCACTGTGTGTATCTGAGTTTGTGAGTGTGTGTGTGTGTATTTGTAAGTCAAGATGTGTGTATCTGAGTGTGTGTATCATACACACAAACACAGATACTGTGTTTGGTGTGTGTATCTGTGCCACTATCTGCCAGTGTGTATCTGTGTGTCAGATTCATACACACTGGCACATACAAACACTAGTGATGTCGCGAGCACGAAATTTTCGGCGAACCGGGCGAACCGCCATAGACTTCAATGGGCAGGCGAATTTTAAAACACACAGGTACTCTTTCTGGCCACAATAGGGATGGAAAAGTTGTTTCAAGGGGACTAACACCTGGACTCTGGCATGCCGGAGGGGGATCCATGACAAAACTCCCATGGAAAATTACACAGTTGATGCAGAGTCTGGTTTTAATCCATAAAGGGCAGAAATCACCTAACATTCCTAAGTCACAATGAATATGGATTGACACCTGACATATGACATATTGACACCTTGACATATGGATTGACACCTGTCCTCAGAGCCCCTGATGCACACGGACACAGAGCAGAATAGAGACTGGTCCCCCTACATAGGGTCACT